GAAGGAGGGTCCAGACCCGAAACATCAGCTTTCCTGCTCCTCTGATGCTGCTTGGCCTGCTGTGTTCATCCAACTCTACACATTGTTATCACACAGTCTGTATAACTGCTGGCCCTGATCTGGGAGAGAGAGACAGCCATCCCCACAGCTACCAACAGAAGAGGGATCCCAGGCAGCTACTCTCCTGAGAACTATCTGCACAGCTATCTCCCTGAAACCTACTGATACAGGGCTGTTTCGTATCAGGGGAACCAATGGCAACTGAACACAACTAGCAAATCTGACGACCGACCACCTCCGAAAACCACCAACGTGACTGACAAGGCCTCAGACACATCCTGAGGTGAACACCGGCTCATAAAGCCACCACAAAGTAAGAAAACTCAAGTTTTCAAACCATACTGAACATCATCCGAAGTCTTCAGTGAAGCACCGGCTACAGCAAGTGGGAACGACCAGCTGTATTTCAAAATCGGGTTTATCCCCAGTGGTGAGCCAATTTCCTCGAGACCCAAAGTATCCAACGTAACTAGCAGGGAGGGGAAGGTGGGTTGGTGACAGTGCAGGGAACCTCTAGTTTGGGAAGTCCAATTAAAATGTGTTTGAAAAACTACTATTTAGTTTCTAATAGTAATTAGCCTGTGTTAAGTTAATAACTGATAGTGTCAGTTTCACTCTTCTGAATTTGTCTTTTTAACTCGTGTATTTTTATTGTCCTTTGTTTTAGTTCCCTGTTTATTACTTTTGTCTTTTCTTTTCTTGTGATATACTCACTTTTGGATTTAATAAATGCAGAGATTCCTTGTCCTGAAACACCTGTCTCCTGCCTTCTTCATTTCACTTTCCTAAATTAAGCCCAGTGTCAGAACCAGGGATCTGGGGGTGATTCGAACCACCTAAAAATCAGCAGATTACTGATTGCACACTAGAATCCCTGCAATAAAGGGAGGAATTGAGTATGACGGAAGTGGATGGGAGAGCAATTAGCGGTGACGCATGAGCTGGAGAGTTGGTGAGATGTCCACAGTGAGTG